TTACATGTCCAGATATGGACCAAAAAATTATATTTGCAATAAACCTATTACTAAATTATTGTGAGGTACCACATCAATAAAATGAAACGGACTGTGTTCTCCAAATATTAACCTGTTTGAAATAGAAATTGAATTTTACATTAAAACTATTCAAAACATAAGAAATAAGAACTGTTGACATTTTAAGTTATCTTATATTGTTTCTAGAAAAAAGCTGAGTATCACTGACTATTCTCATGATGTGTGTCAATATTTTTCACATAGATATACAGTACAGTGAACAGTCTGTCAATCCATATCTAGACTGTAAGTAGAATCAAATAAAGAATCAATCCAATTGAACCTAGTACATCCTACATTCACCCATGGATTGCACTTTAAGAATTTAAAATTCCAAAGCAGCTGTAAGTGATGAATCTTGTGGCTGATTAATACCAGACTATTAGGACCTTTTGATACCATCTTATCTGAGTGTCCTGAAATGCAGTTTTAGATCCTCAGTCCAAACACCTTTCCCCTCTGATGCTACATTGGTATTGGCTAAACATTGGCTAAACTAGCGGTCAGAAGGGTTCCAGAGATGAGGGATAAGTAATGTCTGGGAATGAGTATTTTCTGCAACCTTCCAAGCATCACTCAACAGAAAGTAATGATAATATTTAAAGTAATCAACCAGTTCTCATCATAACCACTATCTTCAACTGAGACTCCGAGATGTTCCCAGGCTCAAAGCTGAATTGGCATTGGATGACTTTTTCAAGAAGCAGGGATAGAGTTTCCTCTTTCTAGCTCTAAATTAAAAAGCCTCACTTTGCCCTGGTAGCCTCGTTTCTTGTTCCCTCTGAACCACTTTACATCCAGAGGTACAGCGCTTGTCTCAGGTGTGAGATGACAGGGCAGAAATGTCACTGCGCGCAATACACAATACAATCATTTCAAACTGATATATGGGTGAAAAAAAGCATGGTGGGTTGGTGGCTGATGATTCACTGTGCTTGTACACTAATGTGACAGAATTAACACAGGAACAGGTGAAGGTTTATTCTATCCTGAAAGGAAAAGAGACACAATGTTTTGGCTATGGAGCCTTCTTCAGGAAGTTTAGAAAAAAGACAAGGTCCAGATTTGGACTGCAAAAAACTGGAGAAATCAACATGCAGCAGTCATCAGTATATTTTTGTAACGAACAGTTCTTTCCGGACCCGATGCGGACGACACAATCCAGAATAGTGAGGAAACACCGGGGGAAAAAGTCATGCAGGAAAGAGGGGGATGAAAACAGGGGGGCGTGTCCATGCTGTGCTGGTGATCCGGGGAGGTGTGGCCGAGGCAAACAATCCAAGACAAATCAGGTCCTGGGCTCGCACGATGTGGAGATCAGATGCAGAGCCACGATTGGTGACTGTGTCTGGCTTTTAAAGGGACAGGAAGGAGACTTTAAAGGGACAGGTGCGGGGAATAATACAAACGAGGAAGAGCTGGAGCGCCCTTAAGAGGAGGGGTTTGCGATCGTGACAATTTTGTATTCAAAAGAACATCTTGATGGACCTTTTGCTAGGCTATGTATTGTTCTGATATATCTCCAGATTCCACATCTTTTTTTTTAGCTCTTCCTATAGCCTATAGCCAGACTGGACTAAACTATTCATGAATACAAGAAATTGAAAACATTTTGTAACCAACATAAATATAGTTCTTATTAAAACTAAAGTTAGTAAGTTGCACAATTAATTTGGATTTTACTGTAGTGAAAATAAATGTACACTTTAACACATCATTGATCTTATATGTCTTCCTTTTTGAGACTATTGAATGTACTTACATATAATATATGTAACATGAATCGCAAAAGTTGTGCATGCAAGTCAAGTAAAATACCTGACATGAGGTAAAGACTTAATTTTCCTCTAGTGACTGTCACGGTGTCGGCTTCCCACAATCACAGATCAAGACACACACAGACCTCTACCTCAGCCAATCTGGTAGGCATGGACCTTTAAGCCAATTACCCAATCAGCTTATCCATTCACTACCACACCTATAATAATAATAAT